GCGCTTTTTATATTCAAAGCTCGCAACACCACATTTGCTAAGATTGAATAAGTGAGCTGTGACCCACAATAAACACAAAATGCCGCTTTTACTCAGTATTTTCTAGTCTCTGGATGGGTCGCTTGTGCCAAGAAAATCTATGTTTGATCACCGTCTTGACACAACCGACACGGACTAAAATAACCAAAAAAGGGAGCCCACAGCAGGCATTATACGCCTGATTCCTTAAGAGCTCCCCATCTCTGAGGGGGTCTTTTCCTAGGTAAACACGACTTCGTTTCCACATGAAAGATCCACCCCTCGAGGCAAGGACAACAACTACGTGATCCATAAGAATACAACTGTAGGAAGTTTCAAAGGCCGGACATCAGTTCTGAACGATGTGAGTCAATGTTGGAGGCCAGCATACCGATGGCTTCTAAACTACCCACAATCCGGGTACACTAGCTGAACGTATTCCAGTTTAGAATCTGGTACAGCTGCCCTCACATTGCAGCTGGAGTTGTTCCTTCACAATGTGATTACTGATTTGGAAATCGGCGGTCACTTTGTTGTCGGCCATTGTGAAACGTTNAACAGGTGATGATTTCGTAACCTTGCAAGTTGTATTCTGGTTGGTAAGAGGCTGTGGCTGATCCAATACCATAACCTTTCTACGGTTGCATGGTAACCTGACGACTCGGAGGTTTGTTGGATAGCCGAAAGGTGTACCTTTGAATTTTTAGCTCAACACACGTCAGAGTTGAACAACTGCGGTGAGATGATGTCACTGTCGCAAATGAACAGTCCGAAAAAAACGGAAGTGTATAACGTCTTCTTGGTTCGCTGGTTATGAACGCTCGATTGATGGTGACATGACGTACATTCACGTTCATTTGGACCTCCCATCCCACATTTGAGACCTCGCATGGTATGGGCTGGAGATGCATGGAGGTTCAGAGCTCTGTCAGCGGTGCTCGTACAGCACTCCAAAAGCTGAGCAGAGCTAAACAGTAGCCCTAAGGAACTGATCCCCCATAATGAAGGGATTTCTATCTCGACTAAGTGGTAATCACCAGGTAGGCGCGGTACAACAATGGGGTGACTGACAACAGAAGTCTTGGAACGTTTTGCCACAAAAAAATGGCTGAAGCTGACACTATTTCCGAGGTTGATTTCTACCAAATCAGCAGCATAGTGTCTACCCAACTGGTACTGTGAAGGGCCAAAGTTGTGCATATCTCGCTCTGAAGTGAGATGCATGGGTCACCACAGTGTGCCTTATCCTCCATACGATGAATTCTGATCGCTTTTTGTACAGATATTTTGAGCTGACACGCCGAGTTGTCGCAAGTAATCAGCTACCAGGCCGCAACCGCTCTGCGGTGTATCCATTATTAGGCGGACGAGAAAAGCTCCATCCGGATTCTCACCACGCGGAAGTCTAAAAATTGATTTCTTATAGCTGCTTGTTGACTGGGCAATCGGTCATACAGTGTTTAAATGTGTTCGATACTAGGCGGTCGAATGCGCCAAGCAGCACAAGAATAATTGATAATTCACATGTGCAGTGACTAGATTCGTTACTCATCCTGTCGCAAATTTAGCTCTGAACAACAGCCCTCGCCTGCATGGATTTTGGCTTTAGGGATTACCAACTAGATCGATGTCTAACTGCCTAATTTCTTTCTCCTCATCTTTAATAGAGCATTCTTTCTACACTGTTTCCTCGTCAGCTGGGCTCACGTATTTCAAAATCGAAATAGTTCAGCTGCAGCACCCTTTCGATGCCTAACTACTATGCCACGCGAAGGGAGCAGCACGAGGGCTGGAATACTGTCAGATTGCCTAAGCCTAGACAGGTTAAGTCGAGAGGCAGAGATCGGGTTCGAATCACGGACCTTTCGGTCAGCCAAGCCTGGACAGGGAATGTCGAGAGGCAGAGGTCCGTTTCGAATCACGGACCTTCCGGTCAGTAAAGTCGCTCTCTAACCACGCAGCCATCTCGCCCTGGTTGAATATGCAGAGAAATAGAAAGCGTTCAGCTGTAGCACCCTTTCGGTGCCTAGCTGCCATGCCATACGAAGGGAGCAGCACGAGGGCTGGGGTACTGTCAGGTTGCCCAAGCCAAGACAGGGGAAGTCGAGAGGCAGAGGTCGGATTCGAACCACGGACCTTCCGGTCAGTAAAGTCGCTCTCTAGCCACTTGGTCCATCTCGCCCACGTATTTGCCACTGGTAAATTATTGTCGACGATGATTCTGATTCTGCTAGCAGGAAAGACGTCCACTTAAACCGGCTTGTACTATATAAACGTTTCCCAATAACGGACAACAAAGTGACCGTCGGTTTCTGAATCAGTAATCGCATTGTGAAGGAAGAACTCCAGCTGCAATGTGATGGCAGCTGTACCAGATTCTAAACTGGAATACGTTCAGCTAGTCTACCCGGGTTGTGGGTAGTTTAGAAGCCATCGGCATGCTGGCCTCCAAAATTGACTCACATCGTTCAGAACTGATGTCCGGCCTTTGAAACTTCCTACAGTTGTATTCTTATGGATCACGTAGTTGTTGTCCTTGCCTCGAGGGGTGGATCTTTCATGTGGAAACGAAGTCGTGTTTACCTAGGAAAAGACCCCCTCAGAGATGGGGAGCTCTTAAGGAATCAGGCGTATAATGCCTGCTGTGGGCTCCCTTTTTTGGTTATTTTAGTCCGTGTCGGTTGTGTCAAGACGGTGATCAAACATAGATTTTCTTGGCACAAGCGACCCATCCAGAGACTAGAAAATACTGAGTAAAAGCGGCATTTTGTGTTTATTGTGGGTCACAGCTCACTTATTCAATCTTAGCAAATGTGGTGTTGCGAGCTTTGAATATAAAAAGCGCACCCTCAAGACGGACCAAAATATCACACCGTCTTGGTGGGCACGCACTTGGAGCAGGTGAGTCTGAAGCCAAGTGATATGAGAGGAAGCGCACTATGAAGTCATTGTATTGAGCAACGGAGAATAAAAGACAATAGTGGCATCGCAGAGGACGAGTAACAGATGAACGGTCAAGCGCCTCCGTTCATATTTGCCTTATTCAGTCTGAATACTTAAATTTTACCCACACAACGCATTCAGTGAACAAACACAAAGCCTGTAGTGTACACTTTCACTAAGATACATGTGAACTAGATGGCAGACCGCTATCCCCTTATGTGGGATGATCTAGTTCTTTCCTAATTATCACGCCGTCTTTGGGTATACAGGATTGTGAAGTGCTGAGAACCCATGTTTCGTGGAAATTGGGTAAAAAGGCTACTTATCTATGCCCTTTTCGGCACGGTTTTCTTCCTGTGCCTTGTCACAGGGCGGGCATTTTACGAAACAACCGTATGTGCTGCTTATAGAGACAGCAGGACCGCTTGGGTCAAAAGATACGCTCAGTACGGTTCGGTTCAGCTTTGCGGTAGTCCAGCAAACAACATAGTTACCATACTTCGATACACCCGCGTACGTACAGGCACTCGGTGATTTCAGTCTCATTGGATGAATGATTTTCCTGCCGTGAATGTCTTACTCCGAAATGCATTGACTCAACGAAATGACGGGCATCCACATCAACGGTTTGGATAACCCCTACCGACATTCCACCTGAGCAGCTAAAGCACGTATGCACAACATGTCCTATAAAACCCGAGTCACGATATATCAGGCGGAATTACGCACCCAAAACCGCTCGCAGTTGGTGGCGCTATAGCCAAGAAGCCTAACTCGCAAGCAATTGACCTGAGGATCGGGTAGCTGCACGGTCCAGTACCAACCTGAGCTCTGATTGGTCGAAAGTGCGGACCCAACAGCTAATCATGATTAAGTAGCCACCGAAAGCTTGTTTTCAACGGAGCATCCAGGCGTCGGAATTTCCAGAATGTTACCGCCTCATGTACTCTAAATACGACACACCGCACACGTGTTTCTGAATTGGCTTTGGGTGTTTAATACACTTGCACCTTTGGTGGTTATTTTGACCTAAACGCTAGTTTGGAAGGTCCATACTGAGAACTGAGCTGGGGCATTACCGTTGTGGCAAAAAACTGATTCCTTTTTGAAATGATACTCTCTGGTTAGGCAATATTAAAAAAGTCCTAACTGTAATAACCTTAACATAGGAATTTTTCAACTCAATCCACAGGTGCTTTATTTTTTTTTATCAAATCAGTTCGGATTGGATGACTCCAACTTGCTGAGCCAAAATAAACACGTCGTACAACTACATTCTTCCGTATGGACCCCTCTGGATCCGGGCTGTAGTAGGCCCTCCTCACTAAAACATCTGCAGAGATCTCTCTTTGTATAACGTGTCCAAGTAGATTGAATCTGTCAACACAAAACACACTTGTACTGGGTGCAGAGGTCGCTGCATCACACCTCTCATTAGTCAGTTCCCGTCAATAATGCGCTTGAAACGAAAACTTCCCTCCACATTCTGTGCAACAACGAGAAAAAACAACCTCTCATGAATAAAACTCTAAGTAAAAACTGTAAATAGATTGATATGTGCCACAGAGAATGATGAACTGGTGTAAAACAAAGTCAAATAAGACAAAAACAACGAGGGAACAATTCATCCTACTGACTGCAGTAAAACATGAAAAATACTCTACTCATCACAGGGAATGGTTCCGGGCTGTGTGTGGGTGGAATGTTGTGTGGGACGGTGAGATAATGCAGTGGGCAGATAAATGCACCCGTATGGCGACGCATCGGGGACAAACAGGCGCTCAGCTAAACATAGAAAATACGTACTGAGGATTTGCTGACTAAAAGATCACCGTCGTAGAAATTGGTCACGATCACAATGTTGCCACTGTTTGTTTACGAAAGTGAAGAAGAGAGAGTGGATTAGGATGCTAGGAACACTGTAGCTATTTCGACCCTGTAATGAAATAAATGACTAAACAGGAAAAAGTAATGTGACAGGATTTAAGGTTTTACACATCCTTCCCTTGACAGATGAACAGATAAGAAGATTTATGGCTGTGACCAGGGAAGTCCATCGGAAATTGCTCAGGGAGATCGATTTGAGATCCTATGTAATACAGGAGCAGGATGAAATACAGGAATTTGTTCTCCCACAGATGTGGAGTGCACGTAAACCGCGCGACAAAAACAATCGAAGAGTCGATCCAAGAACTCCATGACGGTTCTTACTCAAATGGACGAGCGAACGTTTTCAGGGGAACTTTGATCCCTAAATTGTCAAAACTTCGAAAATGCAAATTAATAAAAGTACCCACTGTCACAGTTCTTGTATCACTTGGTAGCGGTTTGAAGCTCAGTTTATGTATGGATATTCCCCGCAGCATTCGCCCAAAAAATTTACGAAACGTTCATCGATTTTATGCGCATCGAAATGAGCTGTACATTTGAATGTACACTTACTCATTCGTTTTGTTTGACCGATACGTCGGAGACAATGTCTGACGTTGGCATGCTAAACGGCCTGTACTTTTGAATCACGGGCGGTGGAACACACCACACTATATCCACCACAGGCCTCACTCAGTTATTGTGAAACGTTTATATAGTACAAGCCGGTTTAAGTGGACGTCTTTCCTGCTAGCAGAATCAGAATCATCGTCGACAATAATTTACCAGTGGCAAATACGTGGGCGAGATGGACCAAGTGGCTAGAGAGCGACTTTACTGACCGGAAGGTCCGTGGTTCGAATCCGACCTCTGCCTCTCGACTTCCCCTGTCTTGGCTTGGGCAACCTGACAGTACCCCAGCCCTCGTGCTGCTCCCTTCGTATGGCATGGCAGCTAGGCACCGAAAGGGTGCTACAGCTGAACGATTTCGAAATACGTGAGCCCAGCTGATGAGGAAACAATGGAGAAAGAATGCTGTATTGAAGATGAGGAAAGAGAACTTAGGCAACTAAACATCGATCCGGTTGGTAATCCCTAAAGCCAAAATCCATGCACGCGAGGATTGTTGTTCAGACTTAAATTTGCTACAGTCAGTTGCTTAGTCGCCGCACATGTGAATCGTTAGGTATTCTTGTGGTGGTTAGTTTATTCGACTGCCTAGTATCGAACATATTTAAACACTGTATGACCGATTACCCAGTCAACAGGCTGTAATAAGAAATCAATTTTTAGACTTCCGCGTGATGAGAACCCGGGAGGAGCCTTTCTCGTCCGTCTATTAATGGATACACCACAGAGCGGTTGCGGCCTGGTAGCTGATTACTTGCGACAGCTCGGCGTGTCACCTCAAAATATTTGTAGAGAAAGCAATCAGAATCCATCGTATTGAAGATAAGGCACACTGTGGTGATCCATGCGTATCAATTCACACAAGGATGGCCCTTCACAGTATTAGTCAGGTAGACACTATACTGCTAATTTGATAGAAATCGACCTCTAAATAGTGTCAGCTTCAGCCATTTTTTGCGGCAAAACGCTCCAAAAATTCTGTTGTGCGTCGCCCCATTGCCATACCACGCCTATCTGGTGGTTACCACTCATTCGGGATAGAAGGCCCTTCATTATGGAGGGTTCAGTTCCCTAGGGCCACTGGTTACTTCTACTCGCCTTTTGGAGTGATGTACGAGCACCACTGACAGAGCTCTGGACCTCCATACACCAGCCCATACCATTCGAGGTCGCAACTGAACGTGAATGCACGTCTTGTCGCCATCAATCAAGCGTTCACAACCAGCGGAACAGCATACTGACACCAATAAGACGTAGTACACTTCCGTTTTTTCGGACTGTTCAGTTGCGATAGTGACACCATCTCACCCGCAGTTGTTCAACTCTGGCATGTATTGAGCTAAAAATTCAATGGTACCTTTTGGCTATCCAACAAACCTTCGAGTCGTCAGGTTACTGGGTAACCGTAGTAATACGACCAGAATACATCTTGCAAGGTTACGAAATCATCACCTGTTCCCATGATTACTGTGTAGATTCAATTTAATCCTCCCCCCGAAAAGCTGTGGCAAGTTCAACTTTACTGTTCCGGAGCTCTCATAAAATATGAGGCGTTCTTCCTGCTAGTTCCTATCCAGATTAGCTGACTGACTGTTGGAATAGCAGAGCACAAGTGCCCTTCAATGATGCTGCTGTCAATAACTGTAACGACGGTCGTTGTTATAACCCCGGATATTATGGTAGTCTGCCGCTGGTGACTGATTTATCACGACGCAGTCGATTAAAAACTGTGCCTCAAAGTAAAGACCCGAAACGACAAATATGAATAAGCGATCCTGATTATCGAGAGTTGTTTCTAATGTCTTTGGCGAAGTAGCTCTTCCTACCCCAACAGAGCGGCCACTACTCAACTGAGAAATACACTTAGTTCGCTGACAGCAAAACACCGGGTTCCGTTTATCGATCGAATTACCCAGTAGACTCTTTCGAACTTATTCAGTAGATACTACTACCCAGGTGATCAACAGACTGTCGGTTGGACAATTCCGGCCAACTGGAATGCTTTGCTGCCGCCCCTGGTTCAAAGCACGTTTAGTGTAGTTCAGGATTAACGTATGAGTCGACAGTATGCAGTCTACTGTGTGGAGCAATTTGGACTGACGTAAAGATTCGTTTCCTCACATACGGCGACTGTTGTATTTCATCAAAACGGGGTGCCCCACAACGAATCGAAACCATCTTAGCTCCACACTTAGTGATATTCTTCGATTTCAGAAGAGCTGTAGTGTAGCTGGTGACACGAGGACAATTATTCCATGGCAACCGATACCGGAAAGAAACAATATTACCCAGTTGCCATGGGATCTACCTAGAGTGGCGCCTGACGGTGGAAGTGTCATTCGTGTGTTCAGAGTGCAAGGAAAACCCACTATAGAACTGTCCGAAACTACGCTACTGTTCATGCTAAACTTCATCGCGAACCACTGACTAAGACGACTAAGCACAAATGACTGCACGATGTTTCACCACACCTTGACTAGCAAGTTCGTTCAACTGAATCCGAGCGAGCTGTACAGCAATTGCAGGATAAGTTTGCTCGTTGGTCGCAAAGCACCACTGGAAAGTACTCTGATCACTCATCCTCGTGACTGATTCACTTGGAAAAACATTCTGCACGGGTGCGATGGGACTAACGGATACTACCGCACCTAGACTGTGAAACTCTCTAAGTGAGCAATATGTACACGAATTCAACTCGCAACTATCTAATCCTGGTAGTCTCGCTGTGCTTTTGGGGTCTTCTCCAAAATATCTGTTACTTTCAGCATAATAATGCAAGCCTAACTACATACAGAGAGTCTCACACGCGCGTGACGTTGAAACCTCAAGCAATCGCACATGCTAACTACTTATTAGTAACGGGTTTGCTTGCGCAAATTTTCGGTTCACTCACGGCGGGGTCGCTCCACAGATGATGGAACCAAGTATTCCACATATGAAGATCGAACAAAACTGCGCAGTCATCCATGACAGTACGGATTCAGTTCGTTGTGTATCGTCAGCTGCGTAGATTCGCCTTCGACCCTACACTATCTTATCACTAGTCATGTCGACCCAACTAGAAGTAGAAAAACACGCTAAAGTGCAGCTTTTGCTGGGGGCGTCAGCCGCAGTTTCCATCCCACCAGCACTATAGCTGGTCCCACCGCACGCAACAGCGACCGCCCACGTGCATGGCACAGTTTTGCTACGACGTTACTCAAGGAGAGATCTACTGAAAACATGTGTTGGCATTTTTCTCGACTAATCGTGATCCACGAAGCTGTCCTCAGGGCAGCCAAAAACACCAACAGTGGGACGATGGGCGTAACGAATTAGACAGGCGTATAGAGAGCATTCACATTTCGTTTAACGATGGTGTGAACCCGTGTAAACGGTACACCGAATTCACAGAAACCCAATCAGAATTCTGATGCAAGTTAGACCTGTGGATCGATCACTCGTGCTGAACGGTGTTCACTTCTTGGATGCTCGCCTGAATCTAATATTTAGTCCGAATTACTACTTACTGTTCAACATTATGCCACAGTTCGCTCGCACCGGTTGTTGAATTTGCGCAGCAAAAGGAACGCCGGCACAAGGTCAATCAGTGTCATTTTCGGCCCTAAGCAGCCATTTACCGCAAACGCTTCCTGCCAGCATTTGGTACACGGATTAAAGGAGCAACAAGTTAAATCCACTGTTGTGTTATCCTACATAAATGCACTTCGCCAAGCAGCCAGGTACATTCGGATTCACAGAGCCGAGCTTCACAATCTACAGGCAGATTTCTTAATTGGACAATCAGAATAAACTTCAAATAGAATGAATTCAGAGCGAATGGACCGACTTGGCAAGAGCCATGTTGTGTGCTTGATGCTCTAGTTAGAAAAGGGTGCCTTGTTGTATAAAAAACCCAAAAGAGGGAGCCTACCACCGGGGCAAGATATCCGCGTTGTCGTGCAGGAAATTCGGTTAATAAAAGATCAACGAAATGGAGAAAAAATGTACAAATGTCCGAACGTAGGAGCAAAATGGACTGTATATATACACAGGAATAGTTAAGATAAACATCCATCGCCTCGGACGTCTATTCCTCAATGTTTGGCAGCCAAAAAGCTGTTTGGTTGGAACCGGTGGCAAGCATCGCATACCGGGGGTTGAATGCCAACGTATGTATAGCAGGGTTTGGCAGTTGCGTGGCGGCTTCGTAGCCAGGCAACGTAGCGATGCGTACTCCAGTCTCCACGGACCAAATATGGACTAGACCGTCGGGAGAGCCAACAAGCACAAACTGACTGTCAGGTGTGAAACTCGCATCTAGGGCTTGGTGATCCGCGTTGGAAACCAACTGTGAGGTAAAACATGAAATATCGGTAAAGGTGAACAGCCGTACATATAAATGACCAGGCCTAGAATTGACCACTGCTCAGAAAGTTGGAACTTTTGAGAACGGCAATAGACAAACGGGCTACCTCCTACCACTAAAATACAATGGGAGCCGAAGTGAAGTGACAAATGCAGAGTAAGGTACCATGTCGTGGGATACATTTAACTTGTTTACACTGACTTGCCTGTGTTGGTCGCCGTTCTAGACAAGCCGAAACGGCACCTTAGACAGAAGCTGAGTTGAAATGAGCACAGTAGCTGAAAATAAACACCAGTACATCCTCCTCGACTCTCTGAAGGCCACTGAGCACTCGTTGGCGAGATCTACCTAGAAACACCCAAACAGGTGTCATGAGACACATGGATCCGAGGTGAGAATCTGAGAAGTCGGCGCATAATGATGATTCGTCGAAAATGCCGACATGCCTACAATCTAATCCGTCTGGCAAATGACGGAAAGAAAAGCAAATCAATCACTCGGTTCATCGCTGAAAAGTTCCTTTGGTATAAACCACTTCCATGGAGAAACCAACTGAAAACGATGTAGCAAAAGTAGCGTCTACAGCATCGAGCTTCCGGGAAGGCCATAATCTTTTCGCCCAGGATTTGGTTCTACACCCCCCAGTGGACGCTAAAAAATCCCTGTATAAGGGTGTTACCTTTCCAAAGGATTACATCGTATAACCACCACTCCAAAGGCCAGTAGGGGTCTTGAGTGTCAACTTGACTAGAAGCTAATTTGCCATCCATTACGTCATACAAACACCCATCATCACCAGTCATGAGAACCGCGCACTCATTATATGGCGATTGTAGATGTCCGTTTCGTCCACCGATGATCTGGGGAGATGGAATGGATAGCTGTGCATTGGAGGCGGGAGCTGATAAATTGGTGCGTAAATACAAGTCAGTCAGTGAAGTTTTAAGTGAGAGATTCGGAAGAGGGCTACGCATCCAAAGCAACAGCTTGGATGCACGAGCGACATTGGAGGCGCGACTGGGTCATGTCTGGCAACGTCTCTAACAGTATCGGGGTTCCCATCCAGGGGTAAGGCAATGACCAGCGCAGCCGAGTTTGCTAGTAATGGATTTCAGACTTCGCTGCTAAGTCATTGGCTTTCCCTGGTTTGTTTTCATCCTTCGCGTGTTTGTACAAAAAGAATTTTCCGAGGAATTCGTTCAATTGGCATACGGAGCATATGGCCAAGCCAGCACAATGTATGCATTGGGATCAGTTCATCTATCGTGGGTGAGTTATTTCTTCCGAATACTACTCGACTTACTTCAGCATTACTTATCCAGCGTTCTCACCAGTCTCGGGCAATGATCCGGAGGCATCGATGGTCAAACACTGAAAGTCTTTTGACGTCTTCGGCGCGCAGCGGCTAGGTTTCTGATCCGCATAGTAATATGGAGCGCACCGCAGCACTGTAAACTGGAACCCTGACACACTGATGTCATGTCTACGCCACAAGTGACGCAGGTTCACAAAAGCTGTTCTGGCCTCCCCGATCCGGATGGAAATATCATCTTTTGCGAGACCACCGGGACTGAAACAGCTACCCAGGTAAACAAATTTGTCCACTATCTCAATCGGCTCCTCCGCAAGCATGAGGTTAGGTTCCGAGTCTACCCAGTCTTTACGCTTTGCGGGTGTGAAGCGCATGCCAAACTGTGATGCAGAACTAGTTAGATTATCTAATATTGTTTGCATTACCACGACACCATATCTAAGAAGCGCTACGTCGTCTGCGTACTCGATATTTGTGAGCGGACGCCCCGGCAGAACTTCGACCCCACAGGCCGTAGAGTCTGGGAGTGGGTCTTCCGCAATTGCATCAATGACAAAGTTGAAAGGGAAAGGTGAAAGGGGACAGTTTTGTGTGACACCACTTCGTGGTGGACTCAGACGAAAGCTTCCCGATCGCGTACAGCCCCTTAAGGAAGGTTGAGAATTTATGGGGGACACCTTTGACTCACACAGCCACTGCCACAATGCCCGACGGTCCACAGAGTCAGTAGAAGCTTTCAAATCAAGGAACACAACCACTTTTGGTTGCTGGAAGCAATGTCTCTGTTCCAGAGTCCGTCGGAGGGTGAAGACACGTCTTCTTACAGGACGAAACCTAGCTCGTTTTCTTCCACGGAGTTGCGTTTCCCTGTGTTCAGTCAACTGTCGAACGATAAGACCAGAGAGGACTCTCGATGCCACAACTACCAGGTTGATGCCACCATAAAGACAAGGTTTTTCAACCACCTCACTGGAAACATCTACATGCGCTGGCTCCAACGACCGCTGTTAGTGTCTACGATATCCCCACCTCGTTAGCTTATTCAAGCACACACATCATGGCTTGATTGCTGCAAGCAACTATATGGAGCCTTGGGTTTGATCAAAGAGGACAATGACCGCGGGAAACATGATTAGTGATGACCGAGAGAGCGCAGTGTATAATTATCAAACGAATGAAATTTCTGTTCTATATCTGGAGCGATTGAGAGAGAGATACAAACTGGCAGCTGGACGGCCTCATACCACACAAATCTGTGGACCAAGCTGATATATTAGAACATGGCAGTGAAACAGGTGTGCCATTATCGGCACGTTAATTCGGACAGACATAGTCGTGACTTAGTATAATGTTATATGAGAACACTGACCGTTAGCGTATGCAGGTGCGTTCCTTTAAAAGCATCAACCAGACGAATGTGATTGCTATTTGTGGCGATAAGAAGCGTCTTTCCGTCGGCTGAAAACTGCAAACCAGTCCAAACACACCCGCCTGTTTCGGGACCCAATTTGAATGTGGCGAATGGACCTTTGTCAAACGAGCGTAAGTCATACAACTTGACCGATTCCGAATTGATTCCAGCGGCAAAAATGAGCCCTTCGGGGTCGAATGCAGCACACGGTCGGCCAGAAACATGCATGACGCCCTGTGGAATAGAAGGAGAAATACAAAAAAATGGATTCCAAGAAACTCCAGGTAGGACCATTGAACCCGACCAGTTTAACCAACAAACTGATGAAGCGCCTGCCATAAGTTAGGCTTTTCAGCTTATGAAGGTCGCCGCGGTGGAAAATACTACCGTCGTTGTTGCTTTGCGTTAAACCGCAGAAAAGTAAGCAATGAACTCGTTCTTCCTAAGCTAAACAATGAGCGGGAACATCTTGAATAAATTTACAGTCAATAAATTTAAAAATGAAAAATTCACCACACCAAAGGCTTGCTGTGTAAGTTACCATGCAGTACCAGAGATGGCAGTGATCTCAGCGAATTCCACAACCTGTTGCCAGTTGCTGTGGTGAACGCGGTGTTTTGCCGGTGTGCCTGGTTGGTCGTATTTAAGAGTACGAAGATAGTTGGACCAATTGGATGCGCTGACACATTGAAGCTGAGCTGTTTGACAGCCTGCGTTGCCAGCCCCGTCATTTGCCCGAGATCCGATTGAAAGCAAGCATCGCATCGATCCAGCGACTGCACTTGATATTGTATTCAGTACAGCAAACAACACAGTTCTGAATTTTGCTGAAACCATTGCTTGATCTGTATAAACATAAACAGCTTTTTGTTTTGCTGACACTGGCGTGATCTGCACAAGCCTCTGAAATGGCATTTTTTAACTGAAATAAGTCTGGAATAATTATAATGATAATAGTCGTTCAGCTGTAACACCCTTCCGGTGCCTAGCTCCCATGCCACCCGGAGGAAGCACGAGGGCTGGGATACTACCAGGTCGCCCAGGCCTAGACAGGGAAAGTCGGGAGGCATAGGTCGCGTTTGAACCACAGACCTTGCGGTCAGTGAATTCGCGCTCTAACCACTTGAGCCGTCTCGTCCTGCCCTGGGAAGGTTGTAGTACAGTAGAACTGAAACAAACTTCTGCAACCTGAGTACCTCTATGCGGAAATTACAACGATTTATCCGTTTTGGGTTACTATTTTGGCAGGCCAATGCTGTGATTTTTCGAGAAGATTGGGCGTCAGTAAACAAACTAAAGACCAGCCGTACAACCTGGGCTATCAAAGTAGGTCAATTATTTTACTTTCTACTGAGAGCGAACACCTTACTGAAGCCAATGGTTCCCGGGTTGTGGAAGAAGACTGACCGCATAGACTTTGTGAGCTAGCTAGCACTCCACTACTCGCATTTACCAGATTAATTATTCGAACAGCTTGAGGATTTGCAGACTAACTGGTGTCTCCCTGTGATAACTGCATCAGAGAACAGATGAGTAAGAACGCGATTGTGTTTGACGGAATAATAGCTCGGAACAACTAGAAAATTTTCCAGTTCTGTTGAACATACAGCTGGGTAGGGAAGCGAACAAAAACTCCGAACGCCATCCGAAGGAAACCAGAGTATGAGGGCCTCGTAAAAGTTCAAAGCGTATACGGTACCTTAATGCATAACCAGAGCTAATGACTGATTTCATAGTACCTTTTATAAATGAAAAAAAAGGGAATGAAGTTTTTTGAACTCGCGATGGTTCAGTGGTTAATAGGCGCGGATTTACTGACCGGAAGACCCGTGGTTCGAAACCAACCACTGCATCTCGACTGTTCCTGTTCAGGTTTGCGTAACCTGGCAGTATCTCAGCCCACGTGATTACTTCGGGGAGTATGGCAACAAGGCGCCGAAAGCTGAACGAGTATTATCATTATTATTATCGTTATTGATGGAAACCAAGCGCAAACTGCGAAAAGTAACTCACGTGACAATTAGGCGACCGTAAATCCCAAAGACGGATTGTACAATCCATTGCGCCAGATAGGAACGTATCGTCAATAGGAGACATACAAAGTGACACGACTCTAGAGTGGTTAAATCGATAAATAACGAAAGGCTGCTCACTTTTTGGTATGGCTTTGGAAGTAACGAATATATTTGTTGTCATGTAGAGAAAGATATCGGATGGTATCTGAATGTGACAAGCATGAAATGAGTGGGTAGTCTGAATAGAATTCATACCATCGATCTTCGTCGACGCATGTACTGCAGTAGTCGGACTGTGTGTAAACTGGATAAGGTTCACACCGTACTTCTTACTGTTCAACGTCCGTTTTGGTCTAGAAAAAAGACAGAAGGGGGCCAACGTTGAGATAAAATAGAATTGTCCTACGTCCCACTTGTACAATCATATATCACCATCTGGTCATCATCACTGCTGGAAATTAGTGTCTCGCCATTACTCGAATAGCTCAATGAGTTGATACGGTCAGAATTCTCCTTGAAATATTTCACCGGTTTGAAAGTTCTGATAGTTGCGTCTGTGAGCTTCATCTAGGCTGCTGACAAACCCAAACAATGTCTGAAAAGCAAGCAGAAACGGTAAGTTAGCAGTGGCATGAACGCGACCAACCTGCAGTCAAAGCTGGGTTCCAACAAGCATTTATTCGCTCGGGTCCAGCGCACATTCGGTGCACTTCCCTCAAGCAACTCGAAGGAGGCGCAATGGCAAGGTTGCCTAAGCTTAAGCGAGAGCAAAGGAAGAGTCAGGGTTGATTTCCGGTCTACAGTTTAGCGCCACAATACCTGAGTTGTCTTGAGTTCTGATAAAGGTTGACGTTACTTTTTTGATAGTCAAATGTCTTGCAGTCAACTGAGAGCGATGTTCAAACTTGGTGTCATTTTTCACCACAAACGAACGTAAAGTATGTCGAAGGGGGAGCCTGTTTCAGAAATCTCCAGGGAAAAAATTCAAACACCGTACAGGAGTATTGTATTACTCTGGGAATCACTGTTGTTCTTCACTGTGCATCATGGGCTAACTGCTATCTGAGCAAATGCTGACTACCTGTCGTTTCCTGTTAGCGAAAGTCATTTGTTCCAGGCGTGGGATCTGTCCTGACATAATTAACCTACATTTTCTACTCCTCTTCAACCAGTTAATGTAATGTAACCACTTCCTTATTGCCGTATGTCAGTACAGGCATTCTATTCCCAAGACGACTAAAGCCTGATTCCCGCCTCGGATGCTGTTCAATATTGGACCTACTATTTTCGCAGTTACGATGCTTTTCTAAGGTCAAGCAAGGTTCGCTCGCATGAAAAACGGGGTTATTTGGTCCGATTTCTCTTACATACAGTTCGGGCGAGATGGCTTAGGCGGTCAAGGCGCGGGTCTATCGAAAGAACCTAACCTTTATCGAAAGAACCTAACCCCTATCTCTCAACTTCCCCTGTCTAGGATTGGGTAACCTGGCAGTATCTCAGCCCTCGTGCTTCCACCGGGTGACATGGCGGCTAGACACCGGAAGGGTGTACAGCTGAACGATTTTTTGAAATACGGTTCGCCAATTAATACCAAACTTATGACAACGCCGTTGCTAAAGGTCATTAATTTCCACGATTTGTTGGCCACTCGTGAACAGGAACTCCAATGGACTATGCATGAACTTCAGCAAAACTGAGTTTTCGGGCAAATGATGTGCAGGCAGTAACAGCGAACAAGTACCGTAATCAATCTGTTTGTGATGCTTTCATCATTGGCCTTTAATCACAGCAAGAAGACGACGGGTCTTTGAGCGCACGCTTGACTTAAAGGACGCTCCAAAACTTAGTTGATAATAAGAAATAGCTCAGAGGTACTCTAAGGCCTCTTGACCATGATTCATTGTAGGTCAGTAAAATCAAATCAACCGGAAATCGCTTCGAATGTGACAAAAAACGATACGTTTGTGGGAATCAGGAGCATCCACATGCGAGACGTCTCACTGGAAAGCAATCTACGCTGAATGTGGGAAGAAAGGACACGTATAGACCGTTTTTTATCAGCCCACCTTTCTAAACGGATGGACTCAGTCGTGTCAGTATTCACTACCGCTGTCACCAGTTGACTAGCCAGCCCAGTAATCAAAGTACCTATCAACAAAGCTCTTTAACAAGCTCTCCAGACACACTGAGTTCAAAGTGATATATCTGCTACAGTACCGAAGCAAAGGCTGTCTATGAGCCATCACCATCGCTGGCAGCGACACCGGAAGAGAATAATGGTGCTTCACTGCCGTACAACCATGTTAATTTGTTTAAACATAGCCCCATGATGGAAAGAAAAATGGGAATCAGAGAGAGATATCGCAAACAACCGACGTGTCTACATCCACAACAATCAGACAATATGGATAGAAGTCGCAATTATGAAACCAAATGACATCGGTTAGCGGATATTTCGTCCAGCGTCTATAGCCAAACACAAGGGAAATCACGTGGGCCGCATCCTGGAAGGCGAACATCAGAAGCACCTAAACTTCTTGTACCATTCTTCGTCACCTGCAACGTTATGTTATGTGCATCTCTAGGTTTCCTCTACAGCGAACTAAACACAGAAAACACTCTTCTCGGTAGGCAGTAACTCAGCAAATTCGGTAACCAACTTCGCATGGAGTGCTGAAAGCATTCTTTGAGCGAAGTGCCATTTGCTTTACCGAAAAACCGTCTTATGATCAGCTCATTAAAAATCAGCCGGTTCCAGCCGATCCCAACAATAATTCCGAAACATCGGCGAATAATGACCTGAGGATTTCGGAGGTCTGTCCGAAGTGGACGTCTCGCGGCCAAACGACAACACAGCCCAGACTGTTGTTTGATTCATCAACCCTTTTAACATCTAAAAGTGCGCATATTGCATGCTGGAAGCCAGATCGCACCAAAAACATCCAAACTCTTCGTGAGCTTCCCCACACCCTTCTGTCAAATCACGCGTGGTCCACCTCGTAGTGTGCGACATTCCGAAGAAGGTACTAAGAACAAAACCCGGCCCAGTAGACCATGTTTCACCATCTACAGCACACTGCCGAGACACTGCAACAGATGATGAAAAAATGATGATGAAAAATTCTCCACATCTTCAGTGATTCTCCTAAGATTGTAAGGAGAATACCGAGAGACTGCAAATCCTGAGGCATGACTTTGCATTTTGACGCACGCCAAAAGAGGGTATGTCGGTCGTCACTCTATCAACAGGACTTGTGCATCGCCCTCAAAGATAAAAACGAGGACTCCGTATTGAGAAGGTTAACAAGCAACTATTTGAATTTCTGGGTTTTGAAGACCTTCCAGCTTTGGCCTCATCATTTGAACGTCGACGAAGTTGGACAGGAACGGAGAGAATGGGTATTCGTGTCGGACATCACAGGCTTTTGGAGAGCTCACCATACACACCTACACGCCCAGAAGTATGTGAATATAGAGATCGGATTATGTTTACAAACTTCTGGAGCACACCC